ATACCGAGGTTTCAGCCTTGCGTCTGACTATTCTCGAGGAAACAGCCCCCGGCCCCTCAGAAACTGCATCCAGTTAAATCGCGGTAGCCACGCAATGACTCCGAAGTTCCTGATACTCTCAACTACCGCGCACAAAGAGTCGATCCCCAAGTGATTGCTCGCATGGGTACCTCACTCTTAACCAGTGGAGTAAGAGGTCATTGGTGACATTTTTATTTTTTTTTTATGCTGCACATTCATCTTTCAAGAGGCACCGTTTGAACTAATTCGGTAATTAATTTAGGGAAATGCTAAGATCTGTGTTACCAAATTATTCGGTCGGGGTATATAACCGTTAGATTATCATGTAACTATCATAGATAGTTGATCTTACGAACTCCGACAAAATGATTCCGTAACGAGATCGTAGCATCTTTTATTAATTTATAAAAAAAAATATTATATGGAAAAAAAATATGGATAGGTCAACCTATACCTAATCTGGTCATCATAACAAATAATTGTCAATATTACTTTATTAAATCAATTTTGTTATTAGCTAAAAAAAAAAAGTAAAATTATAGACAATGAATTAGGTCTTGCTCTAGTATCATGTTATTACCTTTATAATTTTAATATGTGAAATTTAATTATTGAAGGATATGAGTAATACTAGTTTGACATAATACTTAAAATCTTATATCATAGTATATCATGTCAATTGCATCATGACTCATACAATATTAGGTATACCATCACCATAGGTAATAATTTCTTCTGATTGACATTGTACCATGTTCAACTTGAAATTAACAACAACTTTATGCCTTTATCTTAATCAATGGTAAATAGCAATGTTCTAAAAGTCGCTAGGCGCTCTACCAACGCCTAGCTCCTAGAGCGCTTATGTGGGCCTATTCGGGACCTAGAAATTAATATTAAATACTGTATTTTTTATTTATTTTAACTACCTACAAAATAAAACTATTTCAACTTATGATAAATCGACACATCTAAGTCCAAATAACAAAATTAATATATTTTAAAGAAAACATGAGAATAATAATGTAATTAGTATTAAAAATAAAAAAATAAAAAAAATTAAAAATTGCCGCCGAGTCTGCCTAGTCCGCCTATGCCCGCCTAGGCGCCGCCTAATCACCTCGCCACCAAGCCCGCCAAGTCCGCCTAGGGCCGACTAGGCCCGCCTAGCCGATTTTTTCTGTCGATTTGTTCAAATTAGAGGCGTTCAAACACCATCTAGCGTCTAGGCGGCCGCCTAGGCCGATTTTTAGAACAGTGGATTATAGTACCTTCCAATTGGTGTACATCTGCACGCGTGATATAGAATTACCACCACAACAATGGATAGTGTGGAACGAGATGACCCCAAAAAAAAATATAAATAAATATAAAATATTTAAAGTGGAGAAAAAAGAAATGAAAAACAGATAAGAATATAAATAGAAAAGTGGGAGAGTTGGGGGTTAGAAGGCGGGCGTTGACATTTTGATGGGCGTTAGTGGAAGGAAGAATCTAATACTCATGCCCCCTTTTTTTTTTTATACTTGCATATAATATTTAAAAAATAAAAATTATTTTTAAATTTACATAAATGTAAGAGACTGCCAACTTGCCAGCCCCTTCAGGTGTCAGTGCCATACATTTTGAAAAAGTCCCTTTCCTTTTCGTCATTTGTTTTGTCTCTTAGGATTTAATATTATTGGTCCGAAAGATTCTTGAGTTCATGTGAATTTCTAATGCTCAAATACAGACATGTCTACGGGCCAAACCGGCCCGCAAACCGGCACTGGCCCAGTACGAACCGGCCCGAACCGAAAACCCGAAGGGTCGGTTCGTTGAACCGGACCCGTAGGGTCGCGGTTCGGTCCCAGTTCCATTTTTATGTATTTTGGGCCAGTCGGGCCGGGTCGGACGGCGGGCCACATTGTTAAAATTTTTTGTTCTTTTAAGGGCTGCCCCGGCCCGCCAAGTCGGTGAACCGACGGTTCGGGCAGATTCATAGAACCGGCCCTTGGTTCTTAGCAGGCCGGTCGCGTCCGTGTCTTGGAGGACACGTGGCCCGGCGGGCCGGGTCGGCCGGGCCTTGACCCGTTGACCGGCCACCACTACTCAAATACTGTTGATTTGTTCGAGGTATAATTTTAGGTTGTATGTAATATGGATCTAACAATTCCAAAAATATGAAGATTAAAAATACAAGATAATTGCACTAGAAGTCTTGTTATGGACACGACTTATAAAGCCATCAGCACTTATTCACAAATAGTGTATTGACACGCGTCCTATAATAAATATACTTTGGATAGGTGTCAATATATTAAGTAATGAACGACTCCATAAGAAAATCATCTGATAGCTCTATTGAATTTTTATTGCACTAGTATGAAAAAAAAACTCCATACATGTGTTTGGAGTAGATTTTCAAGCATATATTGATTGAAAAAACTTAACCGGAGATACAATTTAACCCAACAACTTCAAAAAAATGGGTTCTAATAATGTATTTACATGTGAGAATTCAAAGTTTGACCTTTGATATTAAATAAAACATCTCACTCCATTAAGGCATATTATTTGAGGGTTTGTCACGGGCTGTTCTTCTACCTAAATCTTGGAGTTCTCTTGTCACATTATAATGAAAATAAAAAAAATTCAAGGGAGAAAATCAAAGATAAAAATATAATAAAAGAGAAGAAGCTATAATATTAACTCGCAGTCAAAGATATACTGAACAAGATAAAATAAATGGCAATTGCAATTGGATATGGCATTGACATTTATCTCAATTCAAATCCAAGATAATATCACAAGCATTTGACATTCTACTGCCAGATACATTGATGCACTTCAAAATTTTTAACAATTTTTAACTGCAGTAGTGACAAAGGGAAATGCTACAGTCCCGTCCCGTTACGGAACCATTCCGTCGAGATTTGTAACCGTTAGATTATCATGTAACCGTCGTGGATAGTTGATCTAACGGCAACAAATCGCGACGGAATGGTTCCGTAACAAGGCCGTAGAATCTCCCACTGACAAAAACCAAGATATACCAATAGGGATGAGCAAATTTATCATTTATTTCTTATAACCAAATTGAAACCAACTTCACCGGAAAAACTAATCCAAAAAAACGATTTGGTCCATTCTTCGACTCCCGTTTAATTTGCTTCAAGTGAATCATCTTAAAGCACAGTTGTTATATGTTGTAATATATCAGAACATATATAAGATGTAGAGTTAGACACATGCAGTTCGGTTCAAATTGCTTTCTTATTTCATAAACTCAAACCAAAAAAGAGAAGAAAAATGAACAACATACCTTAACCATTTCATCAGAAACAACAAAACGAACTTCGTCGACTTGATCATTGAGCTCAACTCTTTTGTTCTCATCCTTTCATGTAAAGAGAAGGTTTAAAAATTCATAAGCATGTCACATATGCACAACACCAGTTCAATATCTAAAAGCATCCCACTTAATTTTTCAACCAAATTCCACATGGTAAATATAAACATGACTACATAAATAGTACTACCACATACATGGATTAGATCAAGGGACCAATTTAGTAAAGGGAAAAAAAAAATAATGACTTGTAATCTTAAGCAGCACAAAAATAACAAGCAGTTTCAAATATATTATGGATAGTACAAGAATGTTTCGTATGATAATAACGAGTTGCCTTCTTTCAGAAACACCACTCATGAGATGCAAGTACAACGGTCGTAGAAAAATATCAGAAACAATTATGATGAACGGAATTGTCAAGAAAAACAGCTGAAATCAAGAATGCAGTGTCAAGTGTAAATAAAAGGAACAACGAAACTCGAGAGCCGAATAACCCTATGGCCCCAAAAGAATTCTTTAGTCTTTATCTAAACTATATGGTCTCCCTTATGTTGCTAATATAAAGATTAGTAAGTAGATTTGCTAAGGAAAGACAATTTAGTTACAAAGAAATAAAATCAATTCAATGGCTCAAATTCCAAAATGAATAAAGATAAGACATGGTGTAGAAAGAGTAAAGTGTTTATCAGTAACTAGTTGGATACGAGAAGTGCTCGACTAGAACACAAAGACTGAGCTGCTCACACAGCTCCTGGAACAAAAACTTCATACAAAAATGAGGATGAAATCGTTTGCTCCTTGGTCAGTTGCACACAGGCCAAAACTTGCCAGGAAAGATCATCTGTACCAGGAAAATGAGTGAACAACATGGCCAGGAAAGCACTTTTTGAAGTTTTCCCGATGTACTTTCTCGATCATGCAGAGTCTCTGTCCCGAAAGCCTGTACAACCGTGTGTATCATTCAAGAACCATGACACATAGCACCATCTCCTGTTCGAGCTCAAGCCCTGAAACGTATATTTCTAACTCGAGTGCGCAAAACAATGTAAGAACGTGGATAAACAACGTAAATAGCGGAAGCAATAAACCGAAGATGTAAAAAACTCTTCAGGGAAGCGTCCCACTTCCCCTCAAAGCTCTTTCATTGATAAACCGTTGAACACTTGTATAGTTTGGACTTACACGACTCGAACTCCCTTCTAGTCTAGC